GCTTAAAGTATCTTGAAGATAACATGGTTTTTAATCCTTTTTGTGAGTTTGAGATGTAAATGGATCGAAATTTCTCTAATTTTATAACTTCATCCACTTTGAACAAATATTCATGTAATTAGCACATGAATTCTTATTCTAGACCCGTCACATTGCACGACCTACAAGATGTTGATCCAGAATTTTACCGTAGTATGATGTGGATTCGAGAAAATCCAGTAGATCCATCACTTGGAATGACATTTATTGTTACTGAGGAAGAAAATGGACAGGTAAACAGCCGAATGAGGTCAATCTTATTCCTATTACTTTGAGAATGTTAAGGTGGTTGAAAAAGAACTGCTACCTAATGGAGATGAACTTGAAGTCGCTGACCACAATAAGGAAGAGTTTATCTCGCTAATGGTTAAATGGCGAATTGAACGTGGAGTTCAGCGTCAATCACAAGCACTTCTAAGAGGTTTGCATCAAGTGAGTTAAGCGTAGTTTCATAATTGTGTATGTGTGGATATAGAAAAGGGGCGTGGCTTAGCCATAGTGATTTTCCTAACTTTGGTTATGATCTGCTTTCGCTCTCAATAAGCATTTACAGCAAAAAAAAACTTTTCGAAACGAAATTTAATGATCAAACTAGGAATTTTCCAGATTATTACTGGTTTGAGTCACTAAAAAGCGAAATTTGCCATTATAGGTGACTCTTTATATTTTTCAATATTTATTTCTTATTCTTTCTTATGTATCTATTTATTTCTCATACAAAGCAATGTGACGCTTAAATACGCATAGTAGTTGTGAAGATCGGAGAGCTAAAAACCATGAAAATTTTTGAGAAAATTGAAATTTGTTTTCAGATTATTGATCGGGATTTTCTGCGAGTATTCACAGTGGAGCAAGTTGAATTGGTGCTTTCTGGATCACGAGAAATTGATTTGGAAGACTGGCGAAAAAACACTGAATATAGGGTTGGTGCAAGAATTTTTGATAATTTCCACCGTAACCACACAAGATGGCGTAAAGTGAAAAGCACATTGTGTAACCAAACGAACTTTCGACTTTTTGTAGCTGTGGCTACACCCATTCATCTCTATGCACTTACGGTGTAAATCAGCCTGAACACTGAAATCCATTGTTTTAGGGAGGTTATTTCGACGAACATGT